ATTTTGTTTTTGTAGTCAAGTGTAACTCAAGTGTTGAATGATACAAAAAATCGTTGCAAATCATTGATATTACGTTTGAAAACAAAAAGGTCGAAAGAAGAATGTCAAGCGGAACTTCGTCGCATTGTAGAAGATATGAAAACAGATGTATCAACGAATATTGATGACATAGTTCAACAAGTGATGCAAATGGAACCACAACCAGGCAGTCCAAACTATGAAACAAACAGTCGTCTGTACGATTCAATACTAGATCAAGTGACACAAATGATGGAAGATCTGGAGAGAACGTTCATGGGAATTCTTGGTGAATTCGATGTCCATATGGATCAGTTATGGCTGGCAATCTCGAACGACAAAGAAGATCAGTTACGTGTTGCACAGGAAAGTTTTCGAGCAATACTCGACAAATACAGTACACAATGGAATCGTGCGTTTCAAGATGCCAATGATAAAATTCACCGTTTTGAAAGTGACTTAGCAAGGGAATCAATGCAACAATGAATTGGAGAAGGAAATAAACAGCCAAGACAATAACAAAGAAAAACAGTTTATCTCATTTTAAGAAAGAAAACATTTTCATCCTAACAATAGTACTTTTATGTATAGGAGAGAAAACAACGTGCATTCCTCTTGTTTTATTTTTCAATATATTTATCAGTTTTTATTTACGATACTCTCTAAAACGAAAATTCATTGTCACAAGTAGCAATATCTAGAATGGTCCGTGGCATTGTCGCTTGTTTTTTTTTTTATGTTTGAATTTTCACCATCATTTGCTATTACATATATCTTTTAAGATGTACGAATAAAAACTCATTTTTGACTGAAACATATCAAATATAAGTGAATACATCATGAACATGGTTTTATCTAAAACAAGATAGAATAATACAGAGAAACTATTAGTCAATGTTTTTCTTATCAGTGGAAAAATCAATATTGTTTTCTTGAAGAATCTGTAAGCACGTCAATTAATTTCAAATAAAAATCAATGTCTGATAGAATGAATCAATTAGTGATTGTATAAAAAGAATGCTATACTGTCCATCCACTCAGCCTCAAGATATGACGGAAATACAAAAGTATCGAATCGGGAGTAAACTGAAATAACTAACATGAATGATTTATACTATAACAAACCTGTTAAAAAGATTAAAATATTAACTAAATCAATATAAATTGTGCATCTCTTTTATATCAAGCATGGACGTTGTTCAATCAGAAAAGTATTCTATCTTTATATATTGACGAAATAATTAAGTTTTTAATTAAATACAAATTTAAAAGAGATATTTAAAACAGATAATTTTGATAAAACAAATTCATTAGGAATGTATAATTCAAGTCGAGATACTCTAGCCAAAAGATACTCGCTGAATATCGAAATAATTCATTTGTTTGATCAATTTAAAAGAAAATTATATACAAACGATTGAAAATTTATTAAAATTTTGATCTTAATAATGATTTATTTCATTTTTTAATTTTTCATAAGCGGATGTAAATTTTTTGATTAGTAAAATTAACATAAATTTTTTCACTAAAAAAATTTCAAACCATCCATCGCGTTCATAGTTTGATTCTAAAATAATCGGAATGAGACGATAACCTCGTTCAGATGCATAATGTACTTCAGATTAGCAATAAAGACTTTGTTTATACATATTTGGTATAGAAATAAGTACATTATGAGAATTTTTAATAGCATTTGCTATATTAATCATTGTAGATCCACATAAATAATCTTTATCAATCCATACAGAATATCCATCTTTAATTAATGGTTCATGAATTTGAAAATATAAATTTTCATCTTTATATGAATAACTTATCACTATATCTTATTTATATTTATTAGAAATAATTGATTTATTAATAGATTTTTCTTCTTTTTCTAATTTCCAAAGAAGTGTTTCAGCTGCTCTTGGTAAACTTATAATTGTGGAATTTGAATTATTACTTAAGATTTGAATATGATTTATAACAATTTGATTTTGTTTTAAAGTTTCTAAAGCATTATTATTGAGTGCAAGAGCAAGAATTTCTAAAGCTATTTGTTGAACATTTATTGAATCAAATCGAATTTCAATAACACATTTTATTAATAAAGGAAGTGCACTTTGTTTAATTAATTGAATTTTAACTTGATCATGTTGCACAAAATCTAACAAAATAAAATTCATATTTTAATGTTGTTAGGTGGTATCATCATCTTTCTTCATTTCTTTCTTACGTCATATATGTGTGGTTTCTTTCGTTCTATTGTTACGTATACATATATCGTATATAGTGTGATTCATCATCTTCTTCTATATGCGTATTCTCGTTCTCCTCTTTATCGTTCATGTACTTTTCCTTCCGTTATGTTATGTGGATTTCTCCTCTCCTAGCGTTTAGATATGTGATGCTATATGTTATGGGACTTTTCCTCATCTTGTTCCCTTGATCTCCCGTTGGACATATCTGTAACAGTGTGTTCGACTATCCTATATATAGCCTGTGTTTTTCTTCGAATAAACAGAGGTATAGGATTCACATTCTCACAATATAATAAAATTTAAGATAGTCAGCACGATTTTAGATGTGTGTGTGGGTTGAGCGATTATAGGCACTAACACCCACGCCCTTAATTCTAACTAGGGGTGCCACTTTAACTTTGCTTTAAAACTTAAAGTTAAAGTTCTAACTTTAAACTTTAAGCACTGTAACTAATAAAGTTAAAGTTAAAGTGCCACCCCTAATTCTAACTTACACCTCTTCAGTTTTTCGTTACTTTCATCTTTCGGCAATTTTGTTTCGGTCAAAGTTTAGAGGATAATTTTCATAGAACGGATTTTGAATCATTAAGTTACTCATTTGTGTTAGCTTACTTACTAAACTTTGTAATAAACTAATAAATCGTTCTGTTTTATTAAAATCATTCATCGTATTATTAATATAATCAATATACATGGAAGCAACTTTTTGAGGATTTGCCATTGTTTTAATATCTGTTTCTATCATAATTTTTCCTAAACATCTATAAACATTTAATTGTATTTCATCATTTTGAATATCAGTCATTTGTAAAAGCATTGGAATTAAATTTGAAATTGTTTTCATGAAATTTAATACATTTGAATGTAAAGTAAAATTATATAAATTTTGAACAATAATTCTTATATTTAATTTAATATTATATGTTTATTAAAAGAACTTCATAATATTGATGCCCAATGTAATACTAATTTACAATAATCATGATAAAAATCTTGACATAATATATTTATATATTCAGATTTAAGAGGACGAACAAAAAGATAAGTTAGATGACGAATCATTTTTGCACGTTGAGGTGAACATTGATAATAAGTATCGGGATGACAATTTGTCATCCATATAGTAAGTTCATTTAATAATATTCTTAAAATTTTTATAGTATTTGCTGGATGATAATAATCTGAATACCATTGTAAATAATATGGCATTGAACAAAGAAATAATATTTGATTATCATTTGATTTTTCATGAATAAAACTTTGTTTTAAACTTTTTATTAAATCAATTGAATATGAACAACATAAACATTAAATAACACAATAAAATATTGGAGAAATTCCTTAAAAAGTTTATTGTTCGAATAATTAAATTATTATTGAGATATTTTTCATATGTACCTATTTCATTAAGACAATTTCCAAATTCATTAATTAATGATTTATGAAAAAATAAATATTTAAATTCAATTTAAATATTATTTATATTACAACATAAATTCATAAAAAAAATTAAGACATTTAATAAAAATTTCGATAAAATATTATTTTCATTTTATCTTGGATGCATTTAAATTTCAGTTATAACTATATCACGTAAAATAATATAAAATTCATGATGTATTACTTTTAAACCAGCAAGTTTTTTTATCTCGGTAAGATACAACTGTTAATGAACAAATCATTTGTTTAATTAATATATATTTCATATCAATATTATTCATTTGTTTCAATGTAGAAACAAATAGATCAAATGATGTTTTTAACAATTCATTACTAATTTTTGTCCCACAATTCGAATTTTAGTACGTTGTTCATCGATTATACTTCTATTCATTGTTTATTAGATGCTAAAAATATAAATCGTAATTTAATTGAAATTAAATCAAACTATGTTTATATTATAGATAAATTCGAAAAAGAATTTTGCTTTCTACTTCTATTTTCTTCCTAACATTCAATTTCACAAGAAGAAATAAATCAGTATTTATATTTTAATGATTCTAGCACAATATTTAAATGTATATAAAAATAATCGAGCTAACAATAAATAAATTTCGTTGATGCGATGGAAAATAATTACTTGAGAATTATCTGTTTCATTCTATAATACCATTAAATTTAATTATTTATTCGTCGTCCTTATTTTATTATCTTGATTTGTATATTGCAGAAGATGGCATGCGTTCTCGTATGTATAACATGAGAGATTTTTTACTTTTTTATTCTATAGATATTATCAAACTAAATATCATATACTACAATCAATATAATACTTTTTACCATTTTTCTAAAACTTATTTTTTCAAACTGTTGATTTATAGACAATTCGATTTTAATCTGTAATCTGAGCAGATCAAAAACAACATTTCGTAAAATTGTTAATATTTTAAAAAACTGCTTTTCTATGAAATCAGTATAATCGATAACCTAGAAGATCGAGAAAGACATAAGTTGTATGTTTAAAATGTAATGTAATATTTTATTTAATATTCAAGAAAATTTTCTAACAACAGTTGAAACATAACAATTGGGATACAGAGGAAAGAAATGATTATCATCTTTCATATTACTTAATGGACCATGTATTGATGCTGATGTTTGAATTAAAGCTAAAAAGAAAAACGATACTAAATATAATATTAAATATGTTTGATAATGCGTTTCAAATATAACAATATAAGAATCATAATGAAGCCAAAGTTCATGTCAAAGAAAAACACACGATGAAAAAGCAAATACATGACGAACATTTCGATAAAGTTGAGGAAAATTAATTGATACAAATACCCAAAATTCATATTTTACATTTAAATATTCTAAATAATTTTGAAAATACATTAATGGAAAATAAAGAATAAAATCAATTAATGAACAAGTTAAAGCTGATTTATTTAGATCATGAGGATGCATATGTTGATCAAGAAAATTATAAAAACTACGCCATGTAACAATGGATAAATTAGAAATAATTATTTCATATAAAATACAATTAATTACATTGATTTTCCATTGTTTCATCTTAAAAACAATTTTTTTTCAAATAAGTCAATAAAAGATTTTACTTGTCGTGTTAAAAAAGGATATTCAAAATGTAAACAATATTCAATTGAATCATAATTGACAAGAAATGGTGCATAAACAAGATCAGATAAATGTCTAATAAATACAATTAATGTAAATATTGTTATTAATGAAAGAACTAATTGAAAATACCATTGACGAGGAGTATATTGATTCTATACTAACCATACAATTTTTCATTGAATTATATAAATTGTTATAAACGAACATGTAAATTATTTGGTCGCTCTTTTTCTTCATATATGATTATATGGAATTTTCCTCTTTTCCTTCATATATGATCATATACAGTTTTTTCCTTTTCTTTCACATATATCTTCATATCGGGTTTTTTCCTTTCGTTAACTTAATTCCTTCTTTAGACATATATTGAAATGTCTTATTTCCAAGTAAAGAATCAAAGGATATCACTTATGGATTTTTCCTAGTATATGTTGTGTTACAAGAAATGGAAATAACCAAAGTAGCCATTTCTTGTCCTATAAATATTTGTGTTTTCTTCTTAAATAAACGAAATACTACTAAGCTACCAAAACTATCATCTTCTCGGACAAATTACAATAAAACAGTAAGAATATTAAAGGTATGTTTCTGAACATATATTAGTTTTTTTAATAATATTAAACGTTTTAATAGTCATCATGGCACTTGTGGAGCTTAAGCCTCTGAAAGATATCGCAAATAATGGATTAGATCAATTGAAGCAAACTGTTGCTGATGGTGAAAGGCAGGGACTTTCAACGGAGGAAAAAAAAAGAAAGCTAACAGAGCTATCAGGAAAAATCAAAAATAACTTTAATGATAAAATGGACGCAACGGTCAAAAAAGCTTTAGACAAGGATCCAGGACCAAATGCTACTCCTAGTCAGAAACAGCACTACGATACTTACATTGACGAAGTAACAAATAACATGGGAGAAATATCAAAATGGATAGGTTGGTTATTTGAAAAAGTCTGGGAAGCTATTAAAAAAGTTATCGACTGGTTTCGTAGGCTTGCACGGGGTGTAGTCAATTTTGCAAATGAAGTTTTCGATGGTATTAAAAGTTGGTGGTCTAGTTTGTGGTAAAGCTAGTTTTCTTGACACTCATTTTGTAATAACTCATCGAATACATCGAAAATTCAAACATTTTTTTTTTCTTATTTTCCTTTTAATTACACATAATGTTATCATAAAGAAACTGGCATTTTTATGAAATTCTTTATTAAAGATATGTTCATGTGTAACAACGTTTCCTTCTATTTCTAGATAATATTTTACTCTTATTTTTTCGAAATCGAAAGCATATTTTTAGTAGAATACATGGCATCCAGTCACCCACCAACGTCTGCAACAACACGTGAAGGCTTATCTCATGGACAAGCTCGTACTACTCATAGTGTATGTTTAGATTTCTTCAGCTGTTTGTGTTTATTGGAAATTTAATAATTTTGTTTTTGTAGTCAAGTGTAACTCAAGTGTTGAATGATACAAAAAATCGTTGCAAATCATTGATATTACGTTTGAAAACAAAAAGGTCGAAAGAAGAATGTCAAGCGGAACTTCGTCGCATTGTAGAAGATATGAAAACAGATGTATCAACGAATATTGATG